CCTCTCCTGCTGGTGCTCTCATTTTCTCCCGTGGGAGTGGGCCAGGGGATGCCCCATGCCTGGTTCTGGGTCGGTGCCCCGTGACACAGCACCGGCCACAAAGGGTTAATGCTGTGTGTGTTCTGGGAAGCGGGGCTGGGAGGTGCGTGACCCGGGGTGTGGGCGTCGACTCCTTTTGAGGTGGGATCCTGAGCTCAAGTGCAGTGGGGAGCAGGGCCAAGTTCACACAGCACCGTGCCTTCCCCTCCCTGCCGCTCGCAGGCCGCCAGCCCGGCTGCGACGTAGTGCCGAGCCACGCCAGGACACAGGCCAGGTAAGCCACGCACCCGCTCCGCCATCACTGGTGGGGAAGGTTCCAGGGGGTTGGGGACCCAGCGTGGTACCACTGGGCTCTAAAAAAGCTGGGCCAGCTGCTTCAGTGCCAGCCAAGAGGCTGCTGGGATGCTGGTGTCGCCTGAGCCCTACGCTGCCTTTGCTCCGGTAGGTTGGGATGGGATAGGATGGGACAGGAAGGGACAGGTGGTGAGATCTGGGTCACCTTGGCTTGGCAGAGCAGGGCCCACACCCCACAGTCGCAATGCCAGACAGCCAGACGTGGCGCTAGGAAAGGTTTTGGCAGCAGGAGAGGACCAGGATGCCAGCACAGTGCCAGTGGGTCGGGGGATGGCGTGGGGACTCTGCTTCTTGTCCCTGCTGCAGGTGCTGGGATTGGCACTGGCAATGTTGCTGGTCCCGCTCTGCTGTGACAGGGATGCCTGTGCCCAGCCTCCATGGCAGCTATCGTGCTGGGCTGGCACTGGGCCCCCGGCACGGTGCCAGCTGGGTGCTGAGGCAGCCCTAGGCCACAGTGCTCCGACCCCCTTCCTCAGTACCGATGGCTGATGTGCCATGGCGGCAGCAAACGGCTGTGCCTGGGAGATGCTGAACGTGCTCGGGCACTGGGAGCTCTCCGTGTGAGCTGGCCAGCGGGGAGCTGAGCGGTGCCACAGGGGTTGCTCTCAGTGCTGTGGGCTGGGGGACTCTGTTTATCCTCTTCCCTCTCCAAACCATTTTCCCTTTGAAAGAATGAGAAAAGAATGAGCAAAGACAAAGGGCAGTGCCGCTTTTCCCACACCCTCCAGCAATGGGACCCCTGGCATGTGCCTGCCACAGGGTCACCAGTTTGGCCAGGCCCCAGCTGCCACCTTCAGAGTAGGCAGAGGGGCTGCGCAACCCCCTACCCCGCAGCCACGCCACCGCCCTCGCTGTGCCCACCGGCGCCAGGGCCGCTGCTGCTCCCAGTTGGCTTCAGGCAGGGCAGCGGCGGTGGTGGTGGTGGTGGTGGGGGTTGCACAGCCCAGGCACCTGGGCTCCCATCCCAGCTCCCAAAGGGCGAGGGGCCCTGCAGGGCTGGGGGCTGGGGCAACACTGCTCTGCACTCCTCTTCCTGGGTGACTCATTCTCCCCAGTGTGGCTATGAAGTCCCTCGACAGCATTTGCGACTTGTGACCAAAAGCAGCAGCACTTGGCAGCAGCCTGGAGGGGGGTCTGTGCTCCCCAGGACCTCTCCCCCGCTTCCCCATGAGGGAGCAGGTGGGGACACCCCCCCAGACACCCCCTCCCACCCCACAACTTCCACTGTCCCCAAGCTGTGGCCAGTGCTCAGCGCAGGCTGGCACTGTGCCCTTGCACAGGGTGCCATCCTGGCTTGGTGGCATGGGACACAGCCTGTCCCCATGCAGGATGGGTGCTGCAGGGCTGGACCCCCACCCCACTGTGCATGGCTCTGCTGGGGTGGCCAGGCCCCTAGGATGGAGGGAGCTGGCAGGTGGATGGGGCCTGGCCATGGTTGTGCCAGGCAGCGCGGGCTGGCTGAGGGATGTCAGGGTGACCCAGGCAAGCATTGTTTCTGCTGCCAACCTGCCCTGCATGGGAGCCAGCTCAGTGTGGGGAGCGACTCCCCCCTTTCCTCAGCCCTCTGAGGCTGCTGCAGCTGAAATGTACCTGGCCACAGCATTGACATAACTGAGAAAGCCCCGGCATGGCGGGCATCGCTACCTGCTTTCCCCCGGGCACCATCTCTGGCAGTGGCCGGGGAATAC